GATTCCCATATTTGACCTCAAGCGCCAAAAAGGTTCGGCGCGCGATGCGTACAGCGTCAAGTACGAACGTTAGCTGAGTAGAACTCGAAGTGGGCGTCGAGGGGGCCTATAGTAGAGTGTGAGCCCGCGCTCTGCAAAGCTCGACTGTTGTCGATGGCGCGAGCTGGCCCATGTACTAATTGCGTGTGACTGTTTCTGCCGTCTCAAAGGGGGCGCGGGCGTAGGAATGGTCCTCTGCTCCCCTTGCAGCCGAGCGCCTTCTCTCAGATACGTAGGCTTGAAGGGGTGGTAGGCTTTTCTTCCCCCCCCCCCCCCCCACCCCCCACCCCCCCTCAGACGAGCTCCAAAAGATCAAGCGGTCCTCCGAGGAGGAGAGACCGCAGCAGCCCGCCCAGCCGGCCGCACCGGCGCCTCTCTCGAGCGTGAGCGCCACCGACGCGCAGCCGGCGGGGCGGCGCAAGGGCGGGGTGCGCGGGAGCAGCGGCCCGGAGTAGCTCTCTCTCGCCGCGGGCTCGACCAGCCGCCCGCTTCCCCTCCGCCCCGCCCCTCACCACGCAGGCCATCCGCCACGCACAACACCTCGCACCGCACGCTCACACCACACCGCGAACCGCACACCTCTCCGCAGGCGGCCTTGACGAAGGAGGAGCGGGAGGAGATCAAGCGCGAGCGCGCAGCGGCCGCGGCGCTGAAGACGGGGCCCGCTTCGTAGGCTTGACGACTGCCCCCTCCCCCCCCACCACTCACCACCCCCTTTCTGTGTCGTCTGTTCTGTCCCGCCGGCTACGTCTCTCCTCCCGTCGCCGCTGCCTACCCGCCCTCCTGCTCTTTCCTTGGTCTGACCCCCATGCCGTCTACTCCACGAAGCCCTGCAACATTGCTGGAGGCCTATCGTGTGAGCCGTGAGACGGCGCTGTGACTGCGTTGTGGTGGGTTTTGCTTTTGCGAATGCTTGGAAGGGAACGGTCAACGGATATAGCCAACGAACGCAACGGGGCTCCCTCTGGCAAAAGTTCCATCTCACAAGAAAACAGAGACGCCAAACGAGGGAAGGGGAGGAGGCCCCAGCTAAGCGCAGGCGATTTTTGCTGAAAGCAGCCATGCAGACCTTACCCCAAGAATCTCCTGCCCAAGCCAAAGGGCCGCCGCGCGGTTGGGGTCCTGCCGCCTCGCCGCGCGCAATGGCGGAAGGAGGCCCATTTCACTGTGCTCTTGTGCGTTGTGGCACAGCTCGCGTTACAAAATGTTCCCCCGGGCATTCACACTATGTTCCTGAGATAATTTTGGCGATTATATCCATAAGGGATTTCATCCCTTTATGGATTGGAGATTCGTGTTTTGGTTCCGGTTTTGGGTAAAACGTATACAGCGAACGCGATGCGGCCCCTGCCTAGCTTGCTGCTTCTATGCGCGAGCTACGGCGGGACCGCTATCGTTCATGGCTTCCCCTCCGGGAAGTCTGGCCTCGACTATTGCATCGCCGAGGCCGACACCACCAGCGACATGACAGCGTCGACCACCATGGCAGCTCCAACGTGTGCGCTACCATGGTGGACAAGTCTTGCACCCTTGGCTCACGAGCCCCTTTCTGCGGTTCACGCGCTCCTGTTGCCAAGATGAGGAGGCGGCACCTGCGCTCAGCAGGCCGGCCCGGGCGCTCGCTCGCGTCGGCCGCGGCTCTGGCAGCCAACAGCGGCTCACGCTTTGGATCACGGCAATGCGCTCTTGCGGCTCTCGCGATAGCGCAATGCCGTGAGCCCTGTACTCTACTCTCTGTACACTTTGATCGATTCGGCGAGGCCGCCGTCGCGTCCTGAAGGGCCTTTACTCTTTCGCCGGACGCAACTGGCCTCAAAGGGGCTTCCGGGTTCCGGCCTCTGCGTGCGGCGATTCTTACATGAGGCCCTCAATAGATCAACTCTCCTCTCTCCATGAAGGGAGCGAACCTGGCTGACGGCAAAACTGCTAGCTGTCGCCCTTTAGGGCGACATGATGGTGTTTTGGCGCGAGGGGGGGCGTGCAAGTGGCTAGAATGCCTAGCGCCGTCGTCCTGGGGGGGACCCGTCCTGACCGGGGAGGGTGCCCGCCGGAATTCCGGCGGAGACTAGTACTCCAGTCGTGGTCCCATTCAGACGGACCTGCGCTCCCTCGTGTGCCTGCCGGGTTCTCTCCTGCTTTCTGGCGCATCCCACCATCCACCCCATGCGCCACCTGTGTCCTGTTTGCTTGTTTTGTGTGCCGCCACGCCCGAGGCCCTTCCGGGTTCCGGCCTCTGCGTGCGGCGATTCTTACATGAGGCCCTCAATAGATCAACTCTCCTCTCTCCATGAAGGGAGCGAACCTGGCTGACGGCAAAACTATCTCCTTTGTACCCATGCGCAGCCTTTATCGTTCAACGCAATATTGGAACGTAGTGGAAATATAGTGTTAACCCACCCCTTAGATTATTTCCAGCTTCGCCCCCCCGCGGGTGTCTGACTAAGCGCTTCGGCACCAGGCACCCATCCAGCCACAAATCCGGATAAAGTCCGCCGCTTTGGCCAGGCATGAAGTGTGGCTGCCTGGGTCCGACGTGCTGCGGCATCTGCGGCCTTGCTGACGTTGCTGGCCGGCCGCGACTCACGCGCGACAATGCCGCGCAATGGACGCCTCCGCCGCTGCCCGACAAGAGGAACGAGGACAAGGCCGCCGAGCGCAATGCAGATGATGGGCTGCCGACGCTGTGGTTTTGGCAGATGGAAGGCTACCGGTACGCTGCGTGTGTGTCTGCCCTACCTGCCTCGTGGGTTCTCAGTAACACGCGCGCGCTCGTCGCAGGTGGCCGCTCGACGCAGCTGGCAAGGGCATCGGGCGCATCTACAACACCGCCTCGAGAGCCTGGACACGCCTCGCTGGTGACGACGACTTCCGAGCGGACGAGACGGGGGGGCGCTACCTGCGCGCGGATGCGCAAAGAGAGCGAGAGAAGGAGCAGGAGAGGGCAGAGGAGGCGCAGCAGTGGGCCGAGACGGCTGCGGCCGATCAGCAGGCCAGGCGCTCGCGCGTGGAGCAGCGGCGTGCAGCGGACGATCAGATCTGCTCACGCCACACGCGTGTGAGTGCGCCGCGCGCGGCTCGCGAGGATGTGCGAGGGCGGAGGCTGCGGCAGTGGGCGAAGCGCTTCCGCGCGCCGCCGTCGTCGGGCGACGAGTCGTCCGAAGACGACGACTTTAAGCTCCAGCTCAGCTTGTGCCGGTCTCGGGCTGACCGGCGTGAGATGCGCTTCTGGCGCCGCTGGGAGCGCGACGGGCGCCCCGAGATCATTCATCCACCGCCGCCCACGCCCGAGCAGATCGCAGCGGGCCTCATCGAGGAGCTGGTGTGCACGCTCGAGTACGAGGCGCGCAAGGCCGAAGTCATCGCCGACGGCGCCACGCTGTACAACAAGAACTGCTTCCGCATCGACGCGCAGTCGCGGCGGCATGACGACGACGACGCTGCCTTCGTGGCGTACCCGGACGGCTCGCGGAGCTGGGTACATCGGCCCTTCCGGACGACGTACGACCCGAACGGCGGCAACGCGCCGGCGGACCTGCTCGGCGAGAAGGATCCGCGCCTCCTCGTCATGCCATGGGCGACCGACTACTGCTTCCGCGAGCCGGACGTCGTGGAGGGCGCGACTGCCGAGGAGGTCGCGCAGGTCTGCACGCTGCTGCGCTCGCTCTCGCTTGCTCTTGCTCCTGGGCAACAGCTGCAACTCCAACCCGTATGCCCCGCCCGCGCTTGGCTGGCTCAAGGAGCACCTCGAGTTCCGCCGCTGCTGCACACACGACTGGTGCTTCGAGGTCGGCGTGCCGTGCACCGTCGACGATCCGGAGCGCGTCCTGGTCGCCGTACTCAGCGTGCATGAGACGTGGCACATCTCGCAGCTCGTCGAGTGCTGGCGGGAGACCCGGCACGTCTTCGGCATCGACGCCTTTCCGCGCAGCACCGACATCCGACCGAGCGACGCCGCCGCCTCGAGCGCAGCACCGCCGCCGCCGCCGCGCCAGCCGCGCGAGCTTGTGCTGCCCTTTTGGCGAGTGCCCGTTGGCGGCTTCCCTGACAACTGCATCCCCCAACCGTACGACGAGTATCTCGAGTTCAAGCAGATCGTCGAGCCGATCGTGCAGCGCACAGGGCGGGATTACTTTGCCGTTTGGAACGAGCAGTACAAAGAGCATCAGGCGCAGTCGCCGTGCCTCCGCTCTAGCCGCGACGTGCGGCTTGGGCTCGAGCAGCAGCGGCTGGCGTGCGGCCAGCACCATCTCCGCCCCCTGCAGCCGGTGTGCGTGCGCGTGAGGCCGCGGCGAGACTCGCCAGCCACAGAGGCTATCGCACGCGAAAAGGGCGTCTTTGCGCCTCATCTGCCGAATAGCGAGGCGGCCTTCAAAGCGGGGCTCTCGGCCAAGGCGCAGAAGTGGGAGCAGCGCTACGTGTGCATCTGCGGCGCCTCGTACGAGGAGATGCTGCTCGTCGCGCGCAGCGACGACATCGCCCGGCAGTCGCGTGAGGTGTATCACGAGATCCGCAGACAGTGGATGATCGAGGAGGAGCGCAAGGAGCAAGAGCGAGAGGAGGCGATTCAGCGAAAGCGCCAGAGAGTAGCAGAGCCGCCGCCAGCTGAGCACCACTCGGACTGCCTTCTGGATTTGACAACGGCGTAGTGCCAGACGCTGTTTAGAACTGTGGTGTAGGTAGGTAGGTACGTAGGCAGCGCCGAATATAAATTAAGAATAGCGTTGAACCCATGCAGAGCCTTTATTTAGGCGACGCGGGCATCAGGTCTGCTCAAAGGGCTGTCGGCGATGAAGACGCTGATCGAATCGTCTGCCGCCGACCCGCTCGTCGCGGTCGCTCGAGGCCGCTCCGTGAGCATTCTGTGCGCCTCATCGTCGCAGCAGCCGCCTCCACCGGCGACGCCTTGCTGCACGCTCGACGCGCCGGCGGCGGTGCTGCGGTGGGCGCCCGACTCGCCGCCGCGGCTGCTCGCCGCCTCTGCCCTTGGTGAGCTTGCGTTGTGCGAAGCCGCTCGTGTGGCGGGCGCGATCAGCTCGCCACTCTCGCGCACCGCCACCTTCTCGAGCGATGTGCTCCTCGCCCTCGAGTGGCTGCGCCCGTCGCCGCTGCGCGAGCGGCAGCCAGGGGCTGGCGGGTCGGCATCGTGCTGCTCGTTCGGCGACGGCGATGCCTTTTTGGCCGTCTCGGCATCCCTGGTGGTCTCGCTCCACTGGCGCTCTCGCTTTGCGGCCGAGACTGCCGCCGACACCGCCAGCGGCTGGAGCTCGGCGAGGGGAAGGCTGCCGGCCGCCGACTGCTCCGCCGACTGCGCAGCGGTGGGGAGCGGCGAGGGCAGCCCGCCGGTGGTCGCCGTCTCGCGCGGCGCGAGGGTGCTGCTCGCGCGCGTCGCGCTGCTCGACCCGCCCCCGCTGCGAGCCGCCGGTCAGCTGGTGCTCTCCCCTGTCGCAGAGCTGCTGCTCGCCGGCCCACCAGCCCGTCCGCCGAGCAGCGGCCCGCAGTCCACGAGGCCGCAGAGCTCCGGTACGCAGACCGCCGGCCGACTCTGCTGGCTCGGGGTCGGGGCGGACGGGCGAGTGGTCGCCGTCGCCAACGGAGGTGTGCCCGAGAGCGGCGCGCGAGTCAGCGGCGCGCGAGTCTTGCTCTGGCGGCCAGCCGTCTCTGGCGGGGGAGGGGCAGGCGGAGAAGGGGGAGGGGGAGGCGGCGGCGGCGGCGGCGGCGGCGGCTGGGCCCCTGCGGAGGAGGTGGAGGTGGAGGTGGGCTTGGGCAGAGTGGTGTGTGCCTCGAGCTGTGCTCCCCCAGGGGCATGCGCCGCCACACTCCTCCTCTCTCACACCCGGGGCTGCGTCTCGACCTTCGACGTCTCCGACACGCCCGCCGCCCTACCACCGCCCGCCCTCGCCTTCGTCTCGGGAGCGGCACTCCGCGAGGCGGCGGCGGCCGATGTCTCCGCCTTCAGCCCCAAGCGGCGGCGGCGGGACGGCGGCGGTGACGCAGACATGCCTCTGCCCGCCGCCTGCCTCTCCCCGCACGGCGTCTGCCTGCTGCTGGCGTACCCCGCCCGCCCGCCCCGCCTTTCCCTGCTGCCGCTCCACCGCACCGCAGTCTCGCCCTCCGCCCGCCGCCACCGCTGGGACCTCGCGTTGCGGAGCAGCGGGGCGCCCTCCTCGGTGGCGGAGGCGTGGAGCGCCGGCTCGCTCCGCCGCCTCGCCCCGCTCATGGCGCTCTCCCTCGCCGCCGCCGCCACGCTGGGTGTGCGCGCCGCCTCCGAGGGCGAAGCCCCGCGACGTGCCCATGACGCGTCCCGGACTTGTGCGCCAGGCGAGCGCGCCGCTGCCGAGTCGCACTGGCGCACCTGTGGTCCGCTGCTGTGCGCTCAGTTGGCGGCGGCCGCTCTGAGCCACGGCGCCGCCTCCGCCGCTGACGGCTTCCTGCTGCAGACGGCGCTGTCGGCGAGCGGCACCACGCTCATCGATGCCCTCCGCCGGGCGACGTGCGGCCCACCGCCGCGCGCGTCGCCCTCCCCTCGCCCCCCCCTCGCCGGTCCCTCGCCCCTCCTCGCCGCCCCGCCGACCTGCTCCCCTCCCCACCTGCTCCCCTCCCCACCTGCTCCCCTCCCCACCTGCTCCCCTCCCCACCTGCTCCCCTCCCCACCTGCTCCCCTCCCCACCTGCTCCCCTCCCCACCTGCTCCCCTCCCCACCTGCTCCCCTCCCCACCTGCTCCCCTCCCCACCTGCTCCCCTCCCCACCTGCTCCCCTCCCCACCTGCTCCCCCCCCCACCTGCTCCCCTCCCCACCTGCTCCCCCCCCCACCTGCTCCCCTCCCCACCTGCTCCCCTTTCTCTCGCCACCGCAGGCCGCCCGGCGAGCAGCGGCTGCTCGGCGCGCCGGACGCGCTTCCCGCGCCGAGCGGCGCGCGCACTAGCGCCGACTACAGTGCGCTCCTCCCCGAGTGCGAGTGGCTGTTGCGGCTGCTCTGGCTCTGGCTCGCAGGGCGGCGGGCTGCGAGCGAGGGCGCGGCGCCGCTCCCGTTTGGCGAGGCTGCTGACTGGGCGGCTGCGGGCCCGTGGGCGGCGCTCCCTCCTCCGGTGCGTGCGGTTCTGCCGCTGGCGACGGCGATCGCGCTCAAGCGGGCGAGAGCGGAGGCGGCGCGAGACGAGGCGCGGCGCGACGAGGCCGAGCGGCGCAAGTCGCTTCCCGGCGCCGTCGCTTCGGCCGGCGGCGGCTCGATGCACGCGGCGCAGCTGCAGGCGTTGCACCGTGCCGCCGCGCCCCACCTCAAGCCGCAGCCAGCCGATGCGGGCGACGAGCAAGAACCTCCGCCCCCGCCGGGCGCCGCCGACGCGTGGGCGCTCTTTGGCGCCCGCTGCCGGCTCGGCCTCTCCGCAGCGGACGGGCACGCGGCGTGCGTCCCGCCGCGCGAAGTGCCTCCGATCGCCGACACCGTGGAGAGCGGGCCGCTGCGCGCATACCGGGCGCTGGTCGAGCGGGCCGGAGTGCCGCTGCCAGCACAGTACGTGCACGGCGTGCCGGTCGGCTGAGCCCGCGACGCCAACGGGCTGCCGCGAGAACTCGAGATACGGCTCTACCGCGAATATGATATATGTGTATATCAAAAGCGCCGAGACAGGAGAGAGAGAGCGCAATACTCAAACGGGGGGCTCGCGGGCACTCGCGCGCCGTGCTCTGTGTTGAAAGCGAAGCGAAAAGCGTATATCAAAAACGTGTCCCGAATAGAAGATATCGGTCTATGCTCTATATTCGCGTCGCGTCTACTGAATACTCTCCACAAACAAATGAGTCATTGACAATTTGAGGGACCAGTGAGAAATATGAGTCCCTCTCAAAAGTAATAACTAATATAACAAAAGTCTTTTCGGCCTTGGTCGCGGTCTGCCTCTTTCTATCTCCCTTCGCAGTCCCTCGCCGATTCTCGCTGCAACCTTCATGCCACCTCGCGGTCGTCCCACTCTCATCGTTCTCCCTCCTGTCGCTTCCTCCTCTGTCGCGTCGCTTTCGTCTGCCTCGTCCTGTGCGACGCCGCCGCCGCCTGCCATTTGTGAGATGTGCTCTGGGGGGAGGCGGGGGCCCCCGGAGGCACCGTGCGCCGCGCAGCAGTGCGGAAACGGGGCTCCGGCTCCGTTAGTCTCCGTTAGCACCGACTTCCCGAATGAGGGTTGATCAGAGGGCAGATTTGGAGAGATCTCGAGGAGTACATACAGATAGACCCTCCAACCATCAGAAAACTCCAACCTGATCGGTCGTACTGACCGCCGACAGATCACTCCAGACAGCAGACAGGCCGACGTCTGCACGCGGCCGGCCGGGCGAGAGGCTTGACACGATCCGACCCTGCGACCCTGACGCTGCTGCTCTAGCTATCAGACATGCGCTGCTGACTGCTGCCACAATGTGCGACCTGTGCTGGCCAACTTGGCGGCCTTCCCGGTCAGTGGTGAGGCGCAGTTCAGAGCTGTCGATGGCGCGATGCCGCACTGGTCCCACATTGGTGACACGAGACCACCACGTTTGCCGGTCCAAGAGAGAGGCACCGGCGCTGTCCTGAGAAGGTGCATGGTCCCTCTTGACTGCCCATGCGCGCGAGGCTGTGTAGGCATAGCCTCGAGAGTGCCAGCAGCCAATCCGAGGCAGTTTGTGACGCGCATTGCGTCAGAAGCGTGCACGCGGCTGGAAGGACACATTCCTACTGGCCGTACGATCAGGTCGTCACTGAATGCCGAAGACTAAGGCCGCGAGCTATGCAGGCGGTCAGTTGAGCAGCATGGCACGGTCAGCAGCGCCGAAAGGATGTCGCAAGGCGTGATAGCATGGCCGCATGCGCAAGTACGCCGAATTCCCCCATGAAAACAAGTAAAAATCGCGCGAAAAAGAAAAAATCCATCGGCGCCTGCGGCGGGCTGGGGGACCCCATCTCCCCCCCGCATGGGTACCCCCTAGGGCCCTCGCCTCCCCCCAGAGGAGATGTGTGCGTGTGAGGCGTGTTTAGTGTGTTTTTCGCACACATCTCACATGGACATGGACATGCCGCGCCGCCAACAGCCGCGAAGAGCGGGGTTGTAGTAGGGGTCTCAGTCTGCATGACATGTTGCTTATGGGCATTTGAAGGGGCTATCATCCGGGTCGGGGTCGAAGACTGGCCTAAGAGCACCCGGGGCGCGCTTGTTGCGGCGGCCGCAGCAGCGCCAGCAGAGGAAGCAGAGGCAGAGCGTCAATGCGACTGCGACGCTGCCCGCAACCAGCGGCACCAGCCACGCTTGTCCGTCATTGGCATCGGCGGAGAGGAAGCTTACACCTTCGCCTTCTCCATCCGCGACGGGCAGGGACGGTGGCATGGGTGGGGGTGGTGAGGGTGGGCTGCTCGGCGGGGTCGCGGGAGGCGCCGATGGAGGCGTGGCGGTGCACTCGACCCGCTTGTAGATGTCCTTGCCGAGGCGGCAGTTGTTGGCGACGTCTGACGTCCCACAACTGCCGTTACCGTCGCAAAATGAGTTGAGCGATGTGCCACCGCTGCAGCCACGAATGATTGCCGAGGTCCAGGGGCAGCCCGAGCTCTCGACAAGCATCAAGCAGGTCCCACAGTCCCAGCCGGCGTCACAACTGGCGCATTCGATTGGTTGCATGTACAATATCCGAGCAGCCTGGACAGTCCTCTGTTGACAAGGAAGGAAAACGAGAATTCTCGTTTTCCTTCCTTGTCATAGGGGTGGTTGAAGGGTTGAGGGTTGAGCCCCCCCCTCAACCATCTGGTTGACGGTTGAGACCCCCCGTCAACCCTTTAGTTGGGGGTTGAGGCCTCCGGGGCCTATTCACAGGCTCGCGCGTGATCACAAGATAAACTGGACCAGCCGTGCCGCCAGAAAAACGCTTCGCCGCGGCGCGCTCTTGCGCTCCTCGTACCTCGAGCGCAATCCATAAGTAGGAGACGCTCACTGTCGCCATTCAGGCGCCTGATCTTTCAGCAAAGCGATGGCCTACCAGGTACGAGTTCAGATGCGCGCCCGGCAGAAGACGCTTGTGATGCCGCATGCAGTGGGATGCGCAGAGAGAACGGACGGCAAGAGAAGGCAAGGGCAGGAAGAGAAGCGGCTGGTGAAGCTCAGCTCACGGCGTAAGTATTGCGTAAGCAACCGCGGTCACTCACCATGCACGGCAAGAGTCACGGTGAATGCTGCCGCATAAAGCAACAGAGTCGCGCTTGGCGCGATGGTCTTGTCGCGGTTCACGACTTGACGTTGCACACGGTCATAGACGCAGGATCTATTTGGCGAGTCTCAAGCAGCGAAAGTAGGCGCGAGAAATTAATGTCGATCCTGAGATCTCAATTTTGGCGCTAGTTTCGTTTTCTGGTACATCACGACGACTTGCTTGGGTCTCATGTAGCTCGACGGCTCTTCGACGGCTCTTTCTGGTTGGATGCATCAGACAGTGCTATCAGTCAACAACGCAATGCCGAGAGCAGGGCGGCCTTAGAGCAGGGCGGCCTTCGAGCAGGGTCAACTAAGCTCCTGCTGCATATCGAGCATGGAAGGCGGCCATTGCTCAAAGTAACCTGTTCGAGTTGGCCTCCGGGAACCAGGGTGCGTGGCTGGCGCGGTCTGTTTCACGTGCAATGAGGGCAACGCCATCAAAATCGCGAACATGGGCCGACATGCCTCCGACATTTCTCAGGGCTCGGACGGAAGCTCTGCAGACAGAGCCAGACCGCTCTGCGCGGTCGGACCGACTTTTTCAGACTTTTCTATTCTGGATACTGAGGGTATGTGCTGCTAGATCTCACTGAGCTGAGCTCGTATCTGCCTTTGGTATAAGCAGTTTTGAGTTCGGTAATGTCTCCGGAGACGGAGGGCCGCGTCCGCAGACGGCCATGACGTCGGCCGGGACCGCCCCGTGGGGGCCTTCGATGGCTGTCAGCGCTCCTCCGGGCTTTTGCATCACCCTCCCATTCACACACGTAGCTGAAGCAAGTACTCGTAAAAACGGCGCGTCAAATGCAGCATCCAGGCGTCTAAAGAAGACGACATGAATGGTCACAGAGAATGTGTGTTCAGACCTTTGCGCGGGGGGTGTGAACAGCCATTCCGCGTGGTTGAGGGGTTGAAGGGGTCTGTCAACCACTTGGTTGAGGGTTGAGGCTGCCTCTGTCAACCACGTGGTTGACAGTTGAGGCAATCGGTCTCAACCACCGCTATGAGTAGACCACTCGCACAGCACACAGGTTCGACACAGGTACCAAAAGAGGCCGGCGACGGACCTTTAGAAGGCGCCGTCGTCCTCACAAATGTTGGAGAGTGTGAACTCAAACCTACTTCCTGACCGTAGCCTGACCGTCCTTGTGTAACCGTCTCATGCACTTGGAGCACTTGGAGTGCAGTCATTAACCTCACATCCAGGGCCGGGGAGCGCTTCATGCTGTTGGGTTTCTCCTGCCGCGCACATTGTCATCGACTTGTATCCGACTTGGTGGTTGTGGTGATGTAGCGATGGTGTGGGTCTCTAGTGACCTATACAGCTCCTCCGTGTTCCGTCTCCTGACATGGTACCGACCGGTGAGTGCACGGAGTGAGCAGTGCGGCACTGAGGCCGACATGAGAGCTGGTGCGGCACACAAGCGAGATGTGTTGCCGCACAGCATTTCCGGCTTACGCTCGATACGTTGGCTGGCACCATGGGCACTTGCGCGAGCCGTGGTGATTGGCTGGGCACAGAGGCTCGGCGCACGGTGGCACAGCGGCCGCCAACTGCTCGGCACGGAGGCTGAGCAGAATGAGTACAACCGCAACATCAACTTGGGTGCTTGCGGATCTTCTGCGACAGAGCGCATCTCCGCCAGCACTGCGGCTGTGTGGACACGAGTATCCCCTCTTGCTTCTCCTTACCGGTCCGTTCTCCTCGCCTACGGACCACCATCGCAGCTGCTGCCTCCGCTACCAGCTCTCGGGCTGCTGCAACGGCAGTTACCGTAAAGATCTCGCACCGAATGTGGACCCTGCCTTTCGCCGCCGCTACTTCCGACGTCGCCGCTCGACACGACCGGAGCTGTACGCGATGAACACGCGACGATCGACACGCCCTCTCTGCCTTGTGTGGCGATTACCACGTCGTGGGGGAGTGTTGGGCATCTGTTCGACGTGGCAATGCCACTCTACCTCATTGCTGTCTCTTCCTCGTCTCGCCTCCTCGCGCTAGCCCGTCCCGCTGTCCAACGCCTCTGGCAAGAAGTCCAATGCGCCTCTACGAGCGCCTCTGCCGTCTGGACGTCTGAGACTGAGTCTGCCATCTCCGACGTCGGCGGCCCGTGGCGCAACATCAACGTTCGGGGCATTGAAGATCGTCCTCACGTCCCTGATGCGCTCATCCGCGTCAACGCGGCGAGGCCTCCCAACGGCCCAATCGCCGCGCCGCAAGGGGGCGCCCCCGCTGCCGCTCCCGCGCCCGCCGCGCCTGCCGCGCCCGCTCAAGCCGCCGCCCCGCGACGCTCAGCCCGGATTGCAGCTCGCGGCGCGCCATGACCGAGCTCCACAACGAGCTCCTGTTCATTATCTCCCCTTTCTCTCTCTCCGCCCACTCGGCCGCGCTTTGACCCCTTCACTGGATCATCTTAGCGCGCAAGTCTTGCCAACAAGCAAGACCATCCTTCGCGAAGACGCAAGGTTGGACGCTTAGCCAGCCCCGCGAGACGCCGGCGGGTAACCGGCATACCTACGCTCAGACACATTCACACTCTGCTGTTGTTGTCTGCCGCATCCTCATTCATGAAGACTGCGGAGACAATGGGGGAGTGTTGGAGAGTGTGAACTCAAACCTACTTCCTGACCGTAGCCTGACCGTCCTTGTGTAACCGTCTCATGTTTGGTTTGTCCTGCCGCGCACATTGTCATCGACTTGTATCCGACTTGGTGGTTGTGGTGATGTAGCGATGGTGTGGGTCTCTAGTGACCTATACAGCTCCTCCGTGTTCCGTCTCCTGACAACAGGTTGGCACGAGGGAATTTTAGAACCAAAGGCGGCCGTCGCACGACACGATTCATGCACAGGCGAGGCGCGGGTCTACTTCCGGACTACTCGCCAAGCTCCCAGGCCATTGCGTTAGGCCACGCAAAGAGCGTCGACGCTACGGACTCGCAGGTTGTGCCGCCGCACAGATCGCTGATGAGGCTACATCCTGAGCGGCTCCTCAACCTCGCAGCGCCGCTGCTCGTGACGCTGGCGATTTCCTTCTTCTGTTTTCACGAGCTGGGCTTTAGCTGGCGGTGGTCGATCCCGGCAGGCCTCTTCACAGCTGTTAGGATGCAAAAACGTGGCTTCATCTAGATCCGGATTACGCTGCACGGCACATAAAGTGTCACACGTGATGTTGCTAGGAGACGTGGTGCTATAGGAGACGTGTATCGCCAAATGATCGCAGGAGTGTATTTCGTGTAAAAGACGTCAAGGATACGACACGGGCAGCGCCGCTCACTCCGACGCGGCGGGCAGTACGCCACCATAAGCGTCTGTGCTGTACCACCGCATCTGCGCGTCGCCCCACCGCCGGCGTAGCGCCGCCTCCTCGCGCGCCGCCGCGGCGCCGTCGCCGAGCAGGAGCAGCGCCCGCCAGAGGCGGTAGGAGCCCTGCCAATCGTACGGCGCGGCGAGCGCGGCGGAGGCGTTGTACGCGGCCGCCGCGCCGGCCAGGTCGCCCTTTGCCTGCAGGATCATCCCCGACCAGAGGTGCGGCTCCGGGCGGGTGGGGTGGAGGTGCTGCGAGACGGAGACGTCCATGACGACCGCCTCGGTGATGCCCGGCTTCTGGCCCGGCTCGCCGGCTGGCTTGAGCAGCTCGTGGTGGTCGATCAGCAGCTTGCGCACCGGGTACCTGCGGACGCGCCGTGGACGTGTCGGCGGCCATGTCAGGCGGACGTGTGGGTGGATGTGTCGGCGGACGTGTGGGTGGACGTGTCGGAGGGTGGCGGAGTGGAGGCGGGCAGAGTGGAGGCGGCGGTATCGACCGGCGGGGTGGGCGTTCCTCGGGGCGGTGGTGGAGGCAGCGGCCGGGGCGGGGAGGGAGGAAGGTTCTCGGAAGGTTCGCGCACAGGTCGGCGAAGAGGGTGCGCATGAGCCGCGGGACCTGCAGGACGGCTCGAGGGAGGGTCTCGGGAGGCGTCTCTCGTGCAGGCGGGGGAGCCGCGGCGCCTCCGGGTTGTTGCGCTCTCGCGTGCGCATCTTGGAGTCCTTCTTGTAGCGGTACTGGGTGAGGAAGTCGTCCAGCTTGTGCGGCAGCAGCGGCAGCCGCGTCAGCTGCAGCCTAATCTCAGAGACGCAGCGAGCTGTCGGACACAGAACCGAGTCGAGCGGCGGCCGCTCCGTGAGCTGCAGCCAGAAGGCCCAGTCTTCGTGCCCCTTTGGGAGCGCCTCGTCGAAGCCGTGCGGCGTCGCTAGCCAGAGGTCCTACCATTCACTCGATGAGTGACGAGGCCTCAAGCGGCTAGCCCGAAGATCCGCCGTACAAACACCGCGGACGCGGGGGCTTGACCTCTGGGCTTGACCTCTGGGCGAGTGCAGCCGAGTGCGTGGCTTGCTGACGGGCGAGGAGAATGGACTCGCACCCACGCCAGAGGCGGGACACGGACTCGGCATCTAGCCCGCGCTCCTTTCTCCACAGAGTCATCAGCGGGAGCGGGCCGTTGACCAGCGCGTTGTCGGCGCGGAGGGGCGGCACCGTCCACTGCCAGCGCGAGCCGTCGAAGAACTGCTGGTTGGCATACACGAGGTTGGTGCGCGGCACTAGCGCGACCTGATCATATCCAATCCTCGGTGGGGGACTGATTGGGGACTGCTTGAATTGTTCTGTGAGACAGGAGCCGCAGCATTTCAAGTGAAGGTGTCGGTGCACGTGCGTGCGTGCGTGCGTGGCGTGCGTGGCGTGCGTGGCGTGCGTGGCGTGCGTGCGTGCGTGCGTGTGTGCGTGAGTGTGTGTGTGCGTGTGTGTGTGTGTGCGTGTGTGTGTGTGTGTGTGTGCGTGTGTGTGCGTGCGTGCGTGCGTGTGTGCGTGTGTGTGTGTGTGCGTGTGTGTGTGTGCGTGTGTGTGTGTGTGTGTGTGTGTGTGTGTGTGTGTGTGTGTGTGTGTGTGTGTGTGTGTGTGTGTTGACCTGTTCCATCGCGCGCATGAGGTAGCTGTCCGAGACGGTGTCGTCGCCGTCGAGGCACATGATCCAGTCGCCTGCAGGACACTCAGAGAAGGCTCAGGGAGGACTGTGGGGAACAGTCGCCGCAGGGACGCAGTGGTCCGCTCGCCGCGTGCGCGGCGGATGCCGGCGTTGCGCGCGTGGGCGACGCCGCGGTTCGGCGTCACCACCACCTCGTCCTCGAAGCGAGCCAGGTCCGCGCTGCTCCACCCCCACCACCCCACCAGCGTCAGCACTTGCCTGCGGCGCGGCCGCGCGAGCGCCGGCCTGCGGAGCATTGCCGCTGCGGCGTCGCCGCAGCGCTCCTCCGAGCCGTCGTCGAGGACCAGGATCTCGGCGGGAGGGTACCGCTGGGTCACCACCGACATTAGCGTCTGCTCGAGGTACGGCACATGCCCGTAGCACGGAACCACCACAGAGATGTTTGGCGCCGCCCGCGCCTCAAAGCTGAGCGACGGAGGCCGGGCGGGCAGGCTGTCGCTGTCAGCACGCGAGAGCAGGGCGAAGGCGCCCGCCGCCGCCTCCGCCGCCGCCGCCGAAATGCTGCGTGCGGCAGGGACAGGTGCGGCAGAGGCGACAGGCAGCAGCGACTGGTGCCGGGCGCTGGCATTCGGCAGCAGCAGCGCCTCGGTGGCAACGAGCGCCAGGATGAGTGCAAGCGCACCGGCAGCGAGCGTCAGGGCGTATGACAGCTTCAGGAATCTTCGACGCCTAGCTGGCATCGCGTGAGTCGGATGTCGGATCGCCTGGCCGCTTTTGCATTACCCGGGTAGGGTGGGCGCGCGAGGCAAAAGAATTTAGGCAAGAGAATTTTACCACGGCGGACGACACCGCCACGAGAAGTGCCCGGTGGGCGACGGCTAGCGCACCACACACCTGCTCCTTAAAATCCCTGTGTGGTGGCGGCGTGCCGTCCTCCCATCCCTCCCTTGGGTTGTCTGTTTTCTTTCTTTCTTTCTTTTACGAGAAGTGCCCATCCCTCCCTTGGGTTGTCTGTTTTCTTTCTTTCTTTTACGAGAAGTGCGTTCTCAGAGCGTGCAAGGCAGCTAGGGATGAGGCCGCAAAAGAGGCGCGCGAGGCAAGGAGGAGAAACGGAGACAGACAAACGGAGAGAGACGTATGGTTCTTGCACTTGTGCAAGATTGGGCGTCTTCTGCAGCAGTCCCTTTGATGGGAGGCCCCAGGGTGGGGGCCACCTCGAACCCCTAGCCAGGGATTCGAGCGGAGGGTGCCCCGGATTCATCTATCCGTCGGGCCCCGGTACATTCATTAGAACTGATCACTTTGCGCAGCAGCCGTCCCTTCGCCGACTGGACGGCAGTGCCTGAGGGAGGGTGTAGAGGATGTAGAGCTGTAGAGCGCTGTAGAGCTGTAGAGCTGTAGAGCGCTCTGGAGCGCTGTAGAGCTGTAGAGCTCTCGTCTACATCGGGCGCGGGACGAACTGCGTGCGTTGTAGAGCGATGTAGAGCGCGATTTTGCTGTAGAGTTTGTTGTAGAGGCTCTACAGCCAAACCGCCGGGAAGGCAGTGACTCAAAGAGGTCGAGCCGCGCTAATGGGGGGTCTCCGAGCTTACTTGAGCTCTGATGGACAGCCCTGACTATCCCTGACACACAGAGAGTCACTCCGACGGCACACAACACCCTGTAACTGCGTCATGACCAGCCTGCCGTGCGTCGCCGGTGGCGCATTCGTCGCTGTGCTTCTTTAGCAGGCGGTGGACTGTCGGCTGCGAGGACGGTCGCATTTGCGCGAGGCGAGGAGAGCATTGTTGAGCGTTGCATGCGCCATGCCTCGCGCCAGCGCGTGCGGGAGCTCCTGGCTGAGCGTTGAGTCCAGGTGAGTTGCGCTGGCCACGATCGCTACGCCGAGCCGAGCTGACGCGTCGAGGCGCCGGCCAGTCGCAGCCGTGAGGCATGCCACAGCAGCAGAGGCATCTGCCACCCATTGGGCGGGCAGACAGAAGGCCAGGGCAGCACTGGCAAGTGCAACGCGCCTCATGTCGGAGAGCGACCGTGCCTCGTTCGCCGCTTATGATGTAGAGTTTGTTGTAGAGATTTCACGTTGTAGAGCGCCTCTACATCGCTCTACAACGGAGGCGCTTCGTCCCGCGGCGGATGTAGAGCTCTACAGCTCTACAGCGCTCTACAGCGCTCTCCAGCGCTCTACATCTCTACAGCTCTACAGCGCTCTACACTCTACATCCTCTACACCCTCCCTCAGGGCAGTGCGCTGCGCTGTCGCTCTGTCGAGCACGCCTCGTGCTTCGTTGTGACGCGGGAGTAGAGTCGAGAGGCAGCCCTCGACGAGACGACCAGCGCCGCGATGCCAGACCTCGCCGTCGCCGAGCTCAGCATTCCGGCCGAGCAGAACCCCGATCCCGCAAAGCCATTGGTGATGCCCGTCGACTCAACAGTGGTAGCCTCTACCCTGCGCTTCATTCCGTGGTCGGCGGTGGGCAATCCGGCCTTCCTCAATCTGCCCCTTCCTCCTCCAGGGATGCAACCGTCGTGGGTCCAGATTCCGTAGTGGGCCGCCATCAGTGGACTTCTCCCGTTCTGTGAGCCCGATCCCGCTGTAGCCAACTACTTTGACAGACTCAGCATCTTGCGGCTGGCCGTCTTGGCCGCGGCGTGGCGCCGCATCCTCTCGGTGCCTTGTCCGACCTCGGCGTGTTCAGCACGGTGCACGTGGATGAGGATGCGTTCCGGACGGTGTGCGTCCAGGCACTGCATTCCCACCAAATCCCGGTGCCCGAGCTCCTTTTGCAGTGGGGCGACTTGGGGTACTCTGAGGCGATCGTACCCTTGGGACCAGTGCCATCTGCAGAGGCAAAGACCGTCGACTTCTTGCAGTACATGACGGTCGGGGCTCTTACTTTGCGACCCTACGGCCGACGTCCCATTCGCAGCCCTGTCTGACATGACCCGCTGCCTGGGGCCCGTCTTCACGGCAGCAGCGCGCGTCGATCCCATGGGGAGTGTCATCGTGGGGGCCGCATCGCTCGCCGCCGCCGCCGGCCACATCACTCCGCGAGCGGGCGACGGTCATCCCGCCCTGCTCGCTCGACAAGTGCTTAACATGCTGAAGACTATCCGCTCGAGTTTCCCGGCCTGCCTGAGGATCAACTCTTTTCAGAACTACTCTGCGGAGGTTGAGACTCGCTCCGAGTATGTGGGCGGGACCACCGTGGTGCGCGATCGAGTATGCAGTCGAGGGAGTCCTCGTTGGCGATGAAGGTGGCGACATCGAATCGCGGCCGACACATGTCACGTGGGAGGAATGGGCGATGAGCGGGAACGATTGCGCGCTACGACGCCGACTCCGCCGTGCTCGTGGCGCAGAAAGCCGCGCTCCAGGAGCACGCCAAGATGCAATGGCTCGCTTGCTTCGATTCAGCTCTCTCGGCAGCAGAAGTGGGGCTGGAGCGGGTGGGGGTGGATGCCGATTGAGGGGGAGCGTCTCCAGCTGCGCCCTGTGGCAGCTGCGCCCTGTGGCAGCTAGTCGAGGGACTTGGTAGTTGTGACCCCCCTGAGTGAGGACAGGAGAGAGAGAGCGTTTTGTGGTGTTGGTGTACGCAATAACGGGACAGGGTGGTTGTTCTCTCTATCTCCTCTTCTAGCTCTTAGCATGAGCTGCGCCCGGTGTCCGACCCCTTTTGCGCAGCAACACCTTAAACTTTTAGGCCCTCCAAATTCGGGTCGGAGCGTAGCGGAGTGGGCCCCGAGTTTGAAAAGGGCGACGGACGCTTGCGTCCTAGCCTCCAACAACGCCTCCCCGGCGCAGAGGGGCCCCCGGAGGGATGCACAACCTCCACGCCACGCCGCTTGCGGCGGTCCTCTTCCCAGCTCCGCTGAGGGCCCGTGCTTTTTATGACAAAAAAGAAATACCGAGGATAATACAGTGCGCACAGTACTGCGTGCGGCAGGCGCGGGCTCGACGTGAGGCAGGCGACTGTCGCGGGGTGCGGGCTGCATCGCTGTGCGGCGTGCGGGGACTGCGCGGCGTGCACATGTACATGTGCATGTCCCTTGCATGTGCTCTGTGCTGTGTGCAGGCAGACTGGACAGCGGACTGAACAGATGGCGGCCGCGCGCGCAGCGTGCCACGCGCGCGCCTCGTGCAGTGCAGGCGTGCGTCGTGTCAGGCGCGAGGCGGCAGGGGCGCAGTGCGGAGCATGCGGGCTGAATGTTCAGAACAGGCAGGGCTGCTGTGCAGGCTGCATGCACAGCCTCTGCACAGCAGCCCCCTGCTCGGGTAACACGAGCGCGTGCTCGGTGGCCTGCGCGCGCGGCGTGCCGCCGCGCGCGCCTCGCGGTGAAGCGTCCTGCCGGGCGTTCCAGTCTTAATCTACTATCTCTACCCCAACGATCTCCTGTTCTTGAGCGCAGAGATGTCCATTACTCTCCACACTGCACACACCCTTCGCTCCCGTAATGATTGTGCACAGTACCGGGGGTAATAGTTCTTGTGAGCTCTGCCAAGCCCCAAGCAGCCTACTGTACAGCTCCTCCCCGGACGCGTGCTCGGTTCGCTTCAGCCACTCTCGAGCTCCGGTCTAGCACCGGGGGAGGTTGGTGTCCCCGCGGGAGGGGCGAGCAGCGACTCGGTGAGCGGCGCGAGGAGGCCTCCCGCCTACCCGAGATCGAGCCGAGATCGAGCCGAGATCGAGCCGAGATCGAGCCGGGATCTCCCGCCTAGCGAGGGGCGCCGCCCTCCCCCGCAGGTCTCTGGTCACCGCGCCGTGCGGAAAGCGCACACGCGTGTGCAGTGGGCTGAGAGGCGGGCGGTCTTTGCCTCCGACGCGATAGGCCGCAAGGCGCCTGGCCGGCGACGGGGCGGGCGGGGCAGATGAGTGCTGGCCGCGCCCCTGTGTCGGGCGGCTGGCGAGGCTGCCCACGCACCGCGCTTGCCGAGCTGGTTCACCGTCACGCAAAGCATGGTTGCGAAGAGAGCCGGGCCGTAGCTGCGGGGAGGGGCGGAGGAGGCGAGGAGGGTGGAGGCGAGGTTGAGGAGGCGAGGAGGCGCAGAGGGGCGAGGAGGGGCGAGGAGGGGTCTGCACAGGCGCATCGGCGGCTAGGGCGGCACACACATGCCTCCGCCCGCCATGGCGCCGATGGCGGCGCCTGCGCACGAGGGAGGGTGGCGAGGTGCAGCCGAGGTGCGGCCGAGATCCGACGGAGGTTCTGAGCGAGGTGCAGCCGAGATGTCTCCCGGACGGCGGCGCCTGCCCAGAAGGAGGTTGACGAGACTGTCCCCTTGAGGACGGCGTTCGTGTAGCCGCCTCCAGACCGCCAGAGGACTGCGCTGCAGATGAAGCCGACCTGCCCGCGGGAAGAGCGGCTCGAGCTCCCGCAGGCCCCCTGGGGAGGGCCGCTAGGCCCGGTTGGGGGCTCCTAACTGCGCGGCTGCTGCTAGGGCCGCACCCCCTTTGGGATCTGCGCGGTGGCACGGGCTGCGTCGAAGGAGAGGGGGCCATGCAGCTCGCTGAACATAGAGCAGATGGTGCATATGCAGGCGCCGAGTGTCACCATGCACATCGACTTGACCGGCGCTGGCGTACTGGAGGTTGACCGCTCGGTGCCGAGGAGTGTGCCGCACAGGAGCGCAAATAGCAGCCGCCGGCACATGTCCGCCTCGAAGCTGCTCAGCCCGCCGAGCTGCGCATATCGCCGGTACCAGCACGGGCTGCGATCAGCGCCGTAATGCGCGTTCGGAAACAGCTCTGCCGGCTGGCCCGCCAAGTCGCACGCAGGCAGCCAG